CTCCCAGGGCTGAGGGAGGAGGGGGCCAGGAGCCTGGTCTCTGGGGCTGAGGGTGGGGTGATGGGGGCCTGGACTCCTGGGGCTGAGGGAGGGGTGGGAGGCCCTGGGACTCTGGGGCTGAGGGAGGAGGCAGGGAGACCTGGACTTCGGGTCTGAGGGGCGATAGGGACGGGGGCCTGGACTCAGGGTCCTGAAGGAGGAAACCAGCAGGGCTGAAAGCGAGATTCCCTCCTCCCTGTCCACTCTGGTTTTAGCAACATCTGGTTTTATACAGTTGCTCCACCCGGGCAGGGCGGGGTGGGGGCTGGGCAGCCAAATGCCCAGCTTCTGAGTGGAGCCTGGGCGGCCCCCCACCCTCCCCCTGCTCTGGACCCATCATCCTTACACAGCCAGACACCAGGCATCGCCAGGGGCTCATGGCAACAGCGGCACAGACGTGCCCGCCCTGGTGGGGTGGGTGGGGTGCCCCTCCCACAGTCCCTGAACTGGCCTGCTGCTCCCTGAAACCCCGGGTCAGGCCCAACCTGCCATAGCGCAGACCTCCCCGCAGCTTACACAGCAGCGAAACGGGCACCAGGGAGTCAGACTGGGCAGCAGCACGGAAATCCCCAAGGCGCACTGGGGGAGACTGAGAAGCGGGGAGAGGGAGAGCAGGAAGGAGAGAGGGAGGAGGGGAGGTGGGGGAGGGGAGAGAAGCGGGCGGCTGGGGGAGACAGAGCCCCCCAGACAGAAGGACTGAGAAGAGCAGGGAAACACTCAAAATGGGGGGGGTGCGGAGGGATCATAGCCAGATGCGGGGCGCAGGGAGCCCACGGAGGAGACCGAGCGGGCCTCCTCAGGTCACCGCGGAATGGGTGAGCAAGACCTGGACACAGGTTGTGCTTTGAAACATCTTTTAAGAATCATGGAGGAGGCCTCCCGGTGTGAGGCTCCAAGGGAGCCCCCTTAGGGGGAGCCTCAGGGGAGCGGAGGGAGCGCCAGAGACGCCATGCAGCCCACGGGGCCCCTCAAACACCCAGGCCTGGGCGGCAGAACCTTCCGGAGCAAGGGCCATGGCGCGAAGGACACTGGCCGGCCGGCACGGACAGCGCTGGGCAGACTCAGGGCAGACGGAGCGAGACCCCAGCAAGGCCGCCAGCGCCCCAGTGGCCCCAGAATAGTGGGGGAGCAGTTGCAAGCTCCCTGAGGCTGGCTGGCCCCACTGGGCCCTTGCGCCCTTCCCTGGCCCGGTGCCATGGGCTTGGGGGTCCCATTTTACTTCTGCTCCTTTTCTCTTCAATAAACTTTTCTTTCTCTAAACCAACCTGCCTCCTCACCTGCTGGCCTGAGAGGTTCCTGCTGAGGCTTCTTGAGGCACCAGCCTGTGGTGGTCTCTGGCCCGGACTCTGCGCTGCCGCTGCAGCCAGTGGGTGCTTGGGGGAGACCAGGCCTGAGCACCTGCCACTTGGGTATCAGCCTTGCGGGTCACACCACAGCGCTATGAAGCTGTGTGCAGCCGCTGCAGGGAGCTCCATCCCCGGCCAGGGAGGGACCCCAGGGCGCAGCAGACCCCTCCTGTCTCCCAGCTGCTCCCCTCAGCAGTGGATCTCAGTAGCTCTGCTCCCCGCTCTGTCTCTGGATCCTGTCACCCCCATCTCTGGCCTGCACCCCTGGTTTTTGTATGCATAAATAAAGTTAATATTTTTAAAAAAGAATCATGGGAAGAGCCCCGAATCTCAGAGAGCTCTGGTCCTGGGGGGCTCTGGGCCTGGGGGCCGGATGCTCATACTCGGGGACCCCCCTTTCCTCGCCTGAGCCAGGCGACTGAGTCCCAACCCCAACTTTGAGGTCACGCGGGTCCCAGGCGACCCCCTGAGGCTGCAGACGCCACTGTGGGCTCCCCGTGCAGCCCCTCCCCAGCGCCGCGACAGCCGACCTGGCGCGCCCAGCCCGGGTCCAGACGGCGCGGCCGCGTCACAGCCTCGGCCACGCACGTGTGCGCTGGGCTCCCGCGGCCGCGCGGCCCAGACAATCCCTGGGGGACCCGAGGCGGCCAGACGCATCCTGGGCTCGGAGGGAAGGGCCGGTGGGGGGGCGGTGGGAGGAAGTGGGGAGGCTGCAGAACGGACGGGATGGGGAGCGGCGAGGGAACTGGGGGGAGAAGATGGGGGAGGGGAAGCGTGGGGGGTGGGGAGACCCTGCAGGGAGGGGCAGAGGGGAGGAGGGGCGGGCGCCCAGGAGGGGAGAGGAGTTAGGGGCAAGGCAGGGAAGGAGGGGTGATGAGGGGGTGCGGGAGAGGGGCGGCAGCGGGCCGGGGTTGGGGGGAGCCCCGTGGGGGGCGGGTATGGCGGGAAGCGGGTGGGGCCGCCGTCGGCTGTGACCTCACAGCCCCTGGCCCCGCTCAGCTTCTGACGTCAGCCCGTCCTCCGCCCCCGCCTGCGGGGCCTTCAAATGACCCCTCCAGCCGGCGGCCGAGGCAGAGCCGGCAGGACAGCGCGGGGCGCCACGCGGCGATGACACAGGTGAGCGCCGGCCCTGGCCGAGGGGCCGCTGTGGGTCGGCCGGCCGGGAGGGGCGGGAGGGAGAGCGGTGCTTGCCGGACGCCTGGGTTCTCCCAGAGCTGTGGGGCTTGAGGGGAACCCCGTGAAATCGTTGACACCCCCACTTTTGGCCTGGCAAGGTGAGGGGTCATAGGGTCCCCACTTCCTGTCACCTGCACCTGTCCCTGCTCAGCCCGGGCTCCCTTGGTGGTAGATGGATGCCCCTGGGCACCTCTGCCGCTGTGCCAGGGCTTGTGAGCGGCTGTGTGCGCATTTCATTTGGCGGCGTGGCTTGGGGTGCCGGCTCCCCAGGTGTCTGCTCACCTTCTAGACCGTGAGCCCCGCCCTATGTGGGCACACCTGCGTGTCACCTGTCATGAATGTGGGGGGGGCGCACGTGTTTGGGGGTATTGGAGAGTGGGTGCCCCCCGCATGCATGGGCCACCCCCACAAACTCGGGGTCGTTTGGGGCTAAGGGCCAGAGAGAGGATTCCGGAGGAGCTGATGACAGACGTTCTCCTGCCGGCTAGCTCCGCACAGCTCTGCCCTAGAGAAACAGAAAGCAAGACCCGCACTTCCTCACGTTTTAAAAAGTCAAAAGGGGGCTGCTTGAAACGAATTTTTGAACGTCCTTTAACTCATGTCAGTCTGTCCAGAACTGGACAAGGCCAGAAGCTGAGGTTTCATGGGCCACGGGAACAGGGACACGCCTGAGAGCGGGCAGCACCGGACACCTCGAGGGTGGCCAGGGCCGTGGGAGCTCGGCCAGGGCCACGGCCACGTGAATATCAACTAACTCCCGGCGCCACGAAACACTGTTCTTTGGCTTCTTCCTGTGCCTTTAAAATGCAAGAGCCAGGGAGGCCCAGGCCGCCAGGGCCACGTCTCAGCGCCTGCCCACAGCCCCTGAAGCACCGGCTGGATCCTGGCCAGGGAGGGAGCCCTGGCGCGGCAGACCTCTCCCGTCCCCCTGCTGCTCCCCTCAGAGGTGGATTTCAGGGGACCCGTGTTCTGTCCCCACTCTGTCTCTGGTGGGTCCTCTCACCCCCAGCACCCCACCCGGCACCCAGTTCTTGTGTGCATAAATAAACATCTTAAAAAACATCAATAACCACAACTAGTCTTAGCTGTCCGGCGGCAGGGGAAATGGCCCCCAGAGAGCGCGCCAAGGTCAGCCCTGGGAACCACGGTCACTCCAACATGCAGGCAGGACAGGCGCCTTTTCCTCGTGGTTCAGACACCCTGCAGGCCTCAGGAGCTCATCGCCCAGGCCTGGCTGCTTAGACGCACACCGGAAGCCAGTTCCAGCCTTCCGCACCCGGCCACCTGCTCTGCGCCCTCAGCCCTCGCCTCCCTCCCCAGCCCCATCAGTCTCCCTGCTCAGGCCTCAGGTTGCAGATGTGTAAGCCCAGCTGCCCCAGGTGCTGCGTTTTCCCTGGAATATGCCTCTGGAGCCAGCCCAGGTGGATTTTAAAGTTTTCCGATAACCGCAGGGGGCATCTGGCTTTGCCTCCAAGTGCAATCCAGATCAAACGCCAGCTCTGTGGTGGCTGGTGGAGCTGCAGAGGCCCTGTGTGGCCCGGCCTCAGGCGACAAGGCAGGTCTGCACCCGCTGAGCACACGCTCGCGAGGTGGGCCTGGCATTGGAGGTGGCACAGGTGACAGAGGAAGCAGCACAGTTCCTGGGGAACCACCCCCCAGCACCTCGCCTCAGGTTTATCTGTGGCAGGAGAATACTGGAGAGCAAGTCCGGGTTCTGGAGGGTGCTACACCTTCATCTGACAGCCGAGAAAGTCTAGCCCGCTCCTGCGATTCTGGGATCTTCCAGCCACACCTGCTGGCCACCAGGCCTGTCCCGGAGCCCCGCAGTGGGAAGGGGGAGCCCGGCGAGCCTCAGGGAGGTCACGTGGCTTCCCGACTGGCGCTGGCCACGCCCCCAGCGGCCCCCCCACCGGTGGGCGTGGCCTGGACTCCGGGCTCCGGGAGGAGCGGGGCAGCTTTAGCGCAGGACACTAAAATCCCCGGTCCTCCCCTTTCCAGGTTGACCTTGGGCAGTGACTACCCTGTGTGACTCGGTGGCCTCATCTGCAAGATGGGGACCTTGCAATGACGCACCTGCTAGGGCTGGTGAGGCGCGAGGTCATGCGCTAGCCGAGGGCGCAGCCCAGCGCTTTCACTGCCACACCGCCCGCAGGCTGAGAAGCCTGGGCCTCGGATGAGGCGTTATTTTAGGGGCCGCTCTGGGGCGGGGGGGGGGGGCGCATTAAGCTGAAGCTCCGCGCCCCGTGGCCCTCGGGGACTTGAGAGCTGCTAGACAGGTGGGAAGAAAGATGAGAAGCAGCATAGTCGGGCCTGATCGCTGCCGCCCTCCGTCTCACCGATGAAAGTAACTTGGCAATAGCTTCTTTCTTCACAAAGGAGGGGGTGAAACCACTGGCTGGGGGCTCCGCGGGCCTCACCTTTCGGAGGGGGCCGCAGGACTCCTTCCCTCACCGCCTCTCTCCTCCCGCAGGACGTGCCCAAGCCCAGCCGGGGCGCGCACCACTGCTCGGGCCTGGCCCGGCGGGCGCTCACCATCGCCTTCGCGCTGCTCATCCTGGGCCTCATGACCTGGGCCTACGCCGCGGGCGTGCCGCTGGCCTCCGATCGCCACGGCCTGCTGGCCTTCGGCCTCTACGGCGCCTTCCTGTCGGCGCACCTGGTGGCGCAGAGCCTCTTCGCCTACCTGGAGCACCGGCGGGTGGCGGCGGCGGCGCGGCGGG